CATGTCAAAAAATAATGTTAACATGTTACTCAAAATATTGTGTTTTATTAAAAGATAGAAATTTTAATGAAATTTTAGGACTACATTTTAAGCTGCATAGAGATGATATCATGCAACCAGGTGATCAAATTATGACTATAGTGTATAGAGCTTTATACACATTTACCAATTCTAATTATGGAAACATTTATTCCAATAAACCTTATATTGGAGTACATAAAGAATGTAAGGATATTAGCAAAATAATATAACCAAATAAACAAATAAGTTTAATTTCAGAAGAATATGAATTTAGCATAACAAAAAATAAACCTGAAATAACAGAATTAAATGAAGAAAATGTTCTAATAATATAACATTTAAGGATGAAAAATTAATTAAAAGATCAAAAAGTTTTAGAATACCTAATAAAAACCAGTTAGAAGAACTTAATAATATAAAAGAAGTAAAACTATAATGGAATGTTGGAAATATGAAAATAGAAGGAGAATATTGTAATGAAAGAGAAAATATAAATGGACAAAATATATTAATATATACAGGAGCTAGTGAATGTCATATAGTTTCAATCAGAAATAAAGGATTAATAACTCATAAAACTGATCAATATAGATATGTAAATTTTGATGGGCAGATACATATTACAGATTTGGAAGTTAAGGTACCAAGAAAAATTAGAGGAATAAATAGTTTAGTATCATGTTATATAGATAAATGTATGGATATAAACTCTTATATACTTTTAGTAATAAGTTTTCTAAATGGATTAAAAGATTATAATATAAAAAGAGAAAGATTATACATAGTACATGATGAACAAACTATATTATGTAAAAAGAACAAAATGATTAATCAAATAAGTTTTTCATTAACTGTATACATATACAAGTTACTATTGTAGAAATAAATATAACAATTTGTGCTTTAATAGATACAGAAAGTGATGTAACAATATTTAAAAGATTTCTGATAAAATCATGGAATAATAAGAGTAATATAAAAATAACTGGAGTAACAGGAGAAAGTACCCAAATAATAAAAAGTGCTGATAAAGCTAGTATAATTCTTGAAAATAAACAAGTTACAACAAATAAAATTTATAAATATGATAAATTAGAGTGTGATATATTATTAGGAAATGATTTTATACAACAATTTCAATATTATAAAAAAAATAATTATATGATAATATTACAAACACCTTGTGGACATTTATTAAAAATTCCAAGAGAATCTAAAACTTATAGAGTTCAGCCAGCCCAACGTGGTGATAAATGGGGAAAAAACCAATAATATTTAATGAAATAAAAAATAAAAGAATATTGCATAAAAAAGTTTTGAAAACGGGAATAGAAATTAGTATAGAAAAAATTATTAAACAATTAGAAAAAGTTTATGAAGAAAATTCATTATTATTTTGGAAACCACATCACCGTAAAACTAAAATAGAATTAACAGAAAATGTCATAATAAGAGTCAGGTCAATGATATATACTATAGAAGATACACAAAAATTCAAAAATTAGATAAAAGAATTATTATAATAGAAACTTATAAGACCAAGTAATGGACCTCATAGTAGTTCAGCCTTCATGGTTATAAAACATTCTGAACAAATTAAAGGAAAAGCTAGAATAATCATAAATTATAAAGAACTAAATAAATATAATAAATTTGATGAATATTTTTTACCAAATAAAGAAGTTTTAATAAACCTTGCAAAAGGAAAATAATATTATTCTAAATTTGATTGTAAATCAAGATTTTGGCAAATAGAAATGAAAGAAGATAGTATACAATATATTGCATTTAATACACCTCAAGGAAAATATGAATGGTTAATAATGTAATTTGGATTAAAAAATACACCACAAATATATCAAAAAAAAGTGGATAATATATTTAAAAAGTTTAATGAATTTATAATTGTTCATATAAATGATATACTGATATATTCTAAAGTAAAGAAAAACATAGGAATCATCATTTAATTTAATTCATAAATGAATGTAAAAAAGAAGGAATTGTATTTTTTTAAAAGAAATCTATAATAGAAAAATAAGAGATAGATTTTCTTGGATTAACAATAGATAAAAGAGGAATAAAATTACAGATTCATATATCTAAAAAGATAGAAAGTTTTTCAGATAAATTAGAATCTCAAGAACAAATACAAATTTTTTAAGGATATTTAAATTATGCAGAATGATTTATTGAAAATCTTTATAAGAAAATGCATAAAATACAAATTTTGTTAAGAAAAACAATATTAAAGGATGTAATGAAGAACATACAGAAATAGTTAAATCATTAAAAGAAGAATATAAAAATTTAACAAAATTAATATTTACCAGATGAAAAAAATAATTTAATTGTTAATACTGATGTCTCAGATAAATATTGAGCAACAATATTAAAAAAAGATTTAAATGAGATTTGTAGATATTTAAGTGGAACTTTTAATCAAGTAGAAATAAATTATACGACTCAAGAGAAATAATTACTAGCAATTATTATATGGATAAAAAAGTTTTCATTATTCTTACTATCCAAGAAATTTACTGTTGAGACTTATAATTCTCAAGTTGTAGGATTAGTCAGGAATAAACTACCAGCAGAACTTCAATACAGAAGGCTCCATAGATGACAAGCTTATTTAGCATTTTATAATTTTAATATAGTTCATATTAAATAAGTTAATAATTTTTTTGAAATTTTCTTAGCAAAAACATAGAATTCGCTGATTGATAAAGCTAAAGTCATGGAGTTATATCAATCTATCCTACATATACAAAAAAGAACAGATTTTCTTAACGAAGAATTTGAAGATATAAATACTGGAGCAACACAGATCTCAGAGATGTTCAACTCAAATTTAAAAATATTGTTGAATATCACTACTGAGCATCATAAAGAAGCAATAGAACTCAAAAATTAAGTTGATGCTATTGCAGCACAACTAAATATATATTATTTGAGACAGATATACCAAAGAGCTCATAAATAAGTTTTCTAAATCAATACCAAACAGGGACAACTGGAAGCAGCAATGGACCCAGATGTGACAATATATCAACTGATAAAAAAAATATTCTATTTCAATATCATCAACCAAAAAAGTGGTAATACATTGAGATAAAAGAGATTCCAAAACTATCAATATCATAGAACAGGATGATACAATCCCTTTAGGTCCAAAAGAAAAAGAGTGTGCAAAAATAGTCAGAATTGCTTATGAAATAAAAATAAGTGATTTATATTTCATCTCTCCGAAAAATAATGTTTATCTTAGAATAACGGCCATGGAAGGAGGAGATCCTTTGTTTATAAAGATTATGGCAGATTATGGATTTGATATATCCACGAAAAGATTTGATTGAAATTTCTAAATTTAATGACATATTCATAAAAGAAGTATCAAGATTTGTCAAGAGACGAAAAATATATTTAAAATTTTATTCAATAAGTTCTGAATACGATGGAGTTGTTTATTATCCAGTTGAACATATAATATCAATTTGGTATGTAGCAGCTAACTTCCAAATAGATATGAAGGAAAATGATAGAAAAGTTTCAACAGTGACAAAATTATGGATCAAACATAGAAGAGCACTTGGAATTAAGGCTATATGAATATTGCTAAAAAATTGTTTGATAAAAAATTCTCATGCTCTTCAATATGAAAACTGGATGCTGGTATCAAATGGAGAACATGGAAAATTAGAAATCTTAAAGGACTACATTACAAAATTCGAAATACATCAATTTCTAGAATGTCCTACCACTATAAGAGTATCCTGCCAACTAAGGGAGTGCTCCAACTACATGTGAAGACATAACAGATAAATGATAATAATAAAAAAAGATGCTCTTTAGATAAAAAGTTTAAAAAGCATGTGAAGACATAATAAAAGGAGGACAATAATAGAAGCTCATTTAATAAAAATCTAATGATGCATGTGAAGATGTAGGTCCAAGGCTGACATTAATAGAAAGGCAAGTGTGACTTTGCTGATGTATTGAATGATGTAATAGATCAATAATAGAGCCTCATATATTTTTATAAATAGAGTCATTGTAATGGATAGAGATCGTCTTATCTTGAAATCTCAAATTGTAATCAATAGTCACTCTTAAACTATCCCCAGTCTGAAAAACCAGTTTTTCTGGAAATCATTGTATACCAAATAGAAATCTTGTAAAAGTTTTGATAGAAATAAAATTTCAATATTTTGATATCAATATGAGTTTCTAAATCTTTATTTCCAATGATTCTTGAAGGATCTAATAGAAAGTTTCCTTCTTATTTTAGCAAAAAGAGAGTTTTTCTTGAACAGAAGTTTAGAATTTTATTCTTTAGAATTGATACAGTGAGAGCAAGAAGCTGAAATAGTAAAAATTTCGTGAAGGCATGAGGCCATTGAAGGAAGCAGTTTACATATTCAGAGTTCAAATGTCACTCAATTCTAAAAATAAAGATCCAGATCAAAACTAAAGTAAAACTATTAAATTTTGCTAAAATTAGAATGAATCTTTTTTAGATCTTAGAGAATTAAAAGGATTAATTGCATGATTATTTGTATTAATGGCAGGATATACAATTGAGGGATTAAATAATTTGTTAGAAAAAATATTAGAAGAAATAAAAAATATTATTTCTTAATTAAAAAATATGAATGCATCTTCTGAAGAATATAATATGCTTAATGAAAAATATGGACAGTACGTTAAAGATTATTCCAATTTACTTGATCAAAGAATGAATTTATATGATAAAATTTAAAATAGAATAAATATAAGATCAAATAGTTTTAAAAGATTGAAATAGATGTTGCAATATAAAAAAAATCAGGTAATATAGAATTTTCCATAAAAAAAAAAATAGTAATAGATCAAATAGAAAAATCCCAATTTTTCCTCGCGTAAACAAATCTTATACAAGGAAAGGGAAATACGTGATTCCACGAAACGACATCGTTCTCTCGTCTGGAACTCTATTTTTAGAATCTGAATTTTGTTAACAATTCAATTCTCTGTCAGAAAATGCAGAAAGAAAAAAATTCAAATTATCAAGAATTTAATTCAATTTCAGCATTTTCAGTTGTGCATCAATCTGCGTGATCTATCTTTCAACTGAATTAAATTAACAAGCTCCCCAGGATAATTTAAACTGGAGAAAAGAAATCAATAAAACCGAAAGATCAAGAACAATACTTGGAGAGATGACAGGCTTGCTGAAACGGTTTGGATTCGGGTTGCGACCATGGATCCGGAAAAGGATCGTCGACCCACTTCTCCAAATACTTCGGAGGTAATTTTCGTTTAGGTTCATGAATGTAACTTCGAAGATTACTGATTTTAATTTTTTTAGTGGAAATTGGTTTGGTTGATTATATTCTACTGAATTATTTCATAATTTTTTTGTTAATTTTTAAATTGACAGGGGGGCGGAGCCAAAGCAATTGGCATTTTCAGGGTCTTTAGGGATTACCTTGGGTGTCTTCCCCATCTGTGGTATGTTAACGTTTAATTGAATTGTTATTAAAAACTAATTATATTGAGATTGGATTGAGCTTCAAATTCATGTTTCTTTTAATACGTTGCCCATTAATTTCTCCATTTTTTAAAGCAGAAATGGAAAATGGAAGCTTATCGAGTTAATTTCCACTGTAACTCAGTTGCTCAATAGCTTGTTAACTCTTTCACAAAATTACTTTTCTGAAAATCTCAAAATAGTGTTGGCTTTGTAAGATCAGCGGGAAAAGCTAAGTGTATCCGAAGCATAAGTAGCTGCATTTGTCTAGCTAGTAGAAAAAAGGGAGATGTAAGAAATGATGATTTTAGTTGTGTAATATCAAGTGCAATCCGATACACTGCTATTTATATGAGAACAATGAATTGATTAGTGAAGTTAATCCAAAAGAGAGGCACAAGATATATCTTAATTTGTAGGGTAGAGCTGCATTAATACCATGATATTTATAGAATACAAAAGTAGATTTCCTCGTATTTCTCCTCTGTTGCTAATTGTTTTTTGTTTCTGGTAATTAGAATGCGAAATTGCACATCCAGAAATTTGGTTTTTATATTTTCATCTACGCATCTGAAATATTTCATCGCTCAAAGTTCACATACTCTAAATTTCAACATTGGGCTCCAAAGCTGCATGAATGTATTCAATTTTCAATCTCCCAAAAAAGATAATATGTATGTATATAAAATTTCTGTATTTCTCATTGATGTTTCATTTTACAATAGAAAAACTGATCTATCTATTTTAGTGGATGCAGCCTTTAAGTCGGATCTTAATATTTATGGAAGTTTCATGGTCTTATTGACTAGGTTCATGTTCAGAGTGATGTACTATTACTTTTTTCTAATATTAATTTTTCGATTTAGTTTCTGATTTAGGTAATTTACATTGTTCCCTAAATACTATTTATATTATGTGGTTATTTTCTGATCTAACTTGGATACAGTAGGGAGTGTTAAAAAGCAGTTTGTCTTGCAGACTCTATGGGGTTTCCATAGATAATTTTGACCACCACCTTATATTTCTTTAATCGTTTTTACTAGGGGTTACTGTGTTTCTCTGCGGGATGGCAATTGCAGTGCTGGGATCTCTTTGCCATGCTCCAACTGTAATGCTGACTAATTTTATAGCTACTCCTATTGAATTGAGGTAACTTTTCACCGAGCACAAGTCATAGGTTTTCAACTCTCGCTATTTTGAATTGACACAACTTAATGATTTACATACAGTTCCATAAAACACTTTCGTATAATTATTTATCAAGTTTTTAATTCATTAGCTAATATCTATGCAAGACTAATGGCCCATCATATAACTATCATCCATTGTGCACCTCATGTTAATTCCTTCTTGTGTTTGTACAAAATGTAGTTACATTTCTTTCGAAGTTTTTGATTCTGATACAAACTCTTCATTAACAATCAGTTTGAGGTATATTTGAAATAGTAGAAGTAATGATTTCCTTTTGGGGTATTATTTTTCTGCAATGATTTTCATGCTAACATCTTCGGCTAATCCATTGTTTCTTGACAAATGTCTTAAGATCCTAATTTGTTTCTTTTTGCATTTTATATTGTAGTCTGGTGATTCCATTTTTACGCCTAGGTGAATTCATTACCGGTGGGCCTCATTTTCCTCTAACATCTGATGCTTTCAAGAAGGTGTTGACTGGCAAAGCTTCACGAGAAGTCTTACAGAGCATTTTCCATTCAGTAAGTAACCAAATTTGATCTCTCTAATCTTATCCTTATCTCTCTCTGTTTCTCACTCTCTCTCACCCCCTCCTCCTGGCATCTTTCTTCTTCATTTAATTGGGCATACGTCTACTAGGGAATATATATTCATTTCTTCGGGTTATACATGCAATCTTGTTTGTGAATCATGACGGTTGGGGGTTTTACCACTTCTATTTAAAAGTGCAAATAGAGAAGTTTGTCCATGACTAGAGCTAAGTTAGCATCTTATAGGCTCACGAGGATTAATAGGTATGGTGAAAATGCATAGAACGCAACGAACAAAGAACGAGACTTGTAGAAGAAAGGGGAAGAGAGAGAGAGAGTAGAAGAGGGAGATAGATTGGGGAGGAGAATCAAAGAGAAGATAGAGAATTATTAGAGGGGAGAAAATATCAATTTATTCAATAATCAAGTCTTAAATATTAGAATACAAAGACCTTTATATAGTATAAACTAATTTAATTTAAGTAGGAAACAACTAATAAAATATTATCTAAATTGGAAATTATTTCATATAAAATATCTATTAGGATTTCCATAAGAAAAACTGCTCTCATGCTTAGAAGATTTTTGGAAAGATAATCATATTAACCCTATTAGAATTAGATTTAACCAGATTGGCTTGCCTTTCTATTCTAAGAAACATCATAGACAATCCATCATAGTTACATAGATGAATTGCTTCACAGAGTTCTAGGAATGCCATATTGCAGCAGCAGCAACACAATCAGACAGAATATCTTAAAATGGCAAGTGTGTTATGGTTGAGGGAGAGACATATTGCATATGATTTGAATTCTGAACATTGATTAGCTTTTTGTAATTTCTCTGAAAGTGGATATTAACATCTTTAGAGAGGCTAAAAGGTTCGGTGAAGCCATAATGTATTCTCTTATCTCATTTTCAGTAAATATTAAGCTTTTAAGATTGGAACTTTATAAATATGGCGTCCTAACATAGTTGACATGGTTCTATTTTCTGCGTGTTATTAGAAATTTTGAACCTGATGTATATGCACACTCTCTAATTTTCGATTTCCTTAATTTTCTCTAGTGATCTCCATTTAATTACTTCAGTCCATTGATTGGGTAATTTCTTAAAATATATGCAGTTGTTGGGATGGGTTGTTGCTGCGCCATTTATCATGGCAACACTCTATATACTATTATTGCCATGTTTCAAGATCTTGGTTCGTAAATTCAGCAGTGTTCCTTCAAGCCCAAAGAAGCCGGCCCACTCTCTCACAGAAATCAGGCTAAAAGTCAGGGATGTATGAGCATAATACTGTTATGTGCAATAACTATCTATCATTTACCAAAAAATGTAACCCCAAATTACGTCTTCTTGTTGGTAACGCTGTTGTACATAAAACTTAACACAGCCTTTTACTATAAGTGTGTAAATATGAATTCTTGTTTCCAATTCTGCATCTCTCATCCCGGATTTGGCTCAATTCTTTGACAGATTGCCGATCCTTACTGGTCTACAAGGCCCGACTCTTGGGCAGATTGTCGAACTGTTCTTAGTAGGCAGGACGAAACCAATCCTGAACTACAAGACAAGCGTAATGGCACAAGTCGAACTCGTTTGATTACTTGGGGAGTTGAGTGAGAAGGCTTTTAAGGTTTGGTGAGGGTGTCCAATCATCTACAGAAAAATATAAATAATCTTGAAGTATAGTATAAGGAAATGAATGGTCTAATCATTGTCAAGTACATAATAAGGTGAAAATGACAGACGTTTGATCAATTCATATAATGGTGTATACATTTAAAGACACAATAAACCTTTTCTCAGGTATTACAATTAATTTTCTTATTGTAGATATTAAGTATTTATAGTGGAAGATTATTCAACCTTTTTTGGGTTTCGAATGTATTAATCGAAACTTACTACAAAATAGTTGATCGAGGAACAAGGTGCTACATCGAAAGTTGAAATATAAGAGTAATGAAATAAATATCGAAAGTTAGTTGCCCTTGTTTGATTCCATTTTTTTTTTTTTTTTTTTTGCAAAATACATTTTTCTCTGTTTTTTTAGACATACATTCTTCAATAAAATAATATCACACGTAAATTTAAAATATTTTTTTTTATTTTTTAATTACATATTTTCCATCAATTACTGTTCTAAAATGTATTTTTTACGTTTTGATGGGACTTAAATAGGAGCTTAATATGTCAATAACCTCAGTAGTACAATTAGAATGAAAATTTTGACAAGATTGAAAACAATCCGACTCTTTCGCATTCAAAGTCAATCTCCTTTACAATCAACATCCTTCTACTTTATAAGAAAATATTATTGAGTAATGTTATTTGTACATCATTTTGTATATAATGATGATGACATGAAAGAGAGTTTTCATGAACTCTAGATGGAAGGGAAGTGTAGATCAAGAATAATGTTACTTATATATAAAGAGTTACAGGAAGTTTTACAGATAGATGAGATGTCGAGAAGAGAGTGAAAAAGCTTCTTCTTTTTTTTTTTTTTTTTTTTTTTTTTTTATTTGGTTGAAGAAATTCTAATTCAATTATATCTCGTCACATCATATATATGTACACCAATCTGTAAGTAGTGATAGACATGTAGCACAATCAATTCTATAAAATAATATAAACTCTTCAGATTTTTTATTTTTACTATATATCTTATTGAAATTTGATATATTTTAACACGTATTTTAGTCCAGCTATCAATTGAGTCCTCAAATCTTTTTTGATTGTGCAATATTTAAATTTCAATATTAAAATGAAATTAGAAATATAATTCCTTATTTGGTGACCTTCTTTTGGGAAAAAAATTTGTTTGAATAGTGAATTTTTGAAAATGTAAGTTAAAAAGTAGGTAAAAAATTTAAGTTTATGTGTAAAATATTTTATTGTGTGAATGTGTAGTTGAAAATAAGTATAAAAAAGAGTTTTGAAAAAATGAAAAACAAACAAAAGCTAAATAACATTATTAGTATCCAAAAATCAAAAAAATAAAATAAAAGATAGAGCCTTGCTACTTGGACAGAATTCCATCCAAAAAAAGAGTTTTGAAAAAATGAGAAACAAACAGAAGCTAAATAACATTAATAGTATCCAAAAATCAAAAAATAAAATAAAAGATAGAGCCTTGTATTTGGACGGAATTCTGTCCAAGCAGAATAACCCTAAAAGATAAGATGATGATAATAATAATAATAATAATAATAATAATAATAATAATAATAATAATAATAATAATAATAATAATAACCGTGCTTGCCTTGCAAGTCTTAATCTACTTTCGCTATACTTAAGTGCCTGTTTGGGAAAAAATTTAATCCGAATTTTAATCAATTATTGTACAGTTGCTACTGTTATTTTGACTTTCTTCTCAATAAAATTCAGACACTGGGACCCACTTGAACTTTGCAAAGGTATAACATTTTTTTTTTTTTTAACGAGGTGTCCCAGCTTACGCCAGACTATATCCTCGTCCCTGAACTTCTGGCCCCTCAGCAGCTCAGGGAGGTAAATCGCTAGATGTGTCCAAGTTGACCAGGGTTCGAACAACCTTTATACTCCTGGCCCCAAGGGAGCCTCCTCCATGGTTATTACATCACCAAACTGCTCCAACCCTTCCTCTGGTTATTACAACACTCAGCTGCTCCAACCAGGAATCGAACTCCCCACGCTGGGATTGCGAGCCCCGCACTGTCCTTCCTTTGCCAACTTGGATGTGCCCCGGGGGCACAATTGACTTTAATCTTGTAAAAAGTGGAGCTAGACAAGGGTACATGTACAATTTGAGCTGGGGGTAAACAGTCACGGAGGGAGAGGTGAATAGAAATATTTCATTTTACGTTTTTCTTTTTTCATTTTAGTCAAATTTTATTTAATTAATAATGAGAATTTGCAATGATGATGATGATGATGATGATTTTTCTAACAATCAATTTTGGGACTGAGCAACGAAATCATCAAATCATTTATCGAATTGAAACACATTTAAATTGATTAGCTATTGATATAGAAAAAAATTATGTTATATAAAATATGAGAAAAAATCAATAAATATTTTTCAAGAAAAGAAAAATAAAGAGCATTATTGAAGTACATAAAAATTATGACTCTCTAGATTTAATTATGCTATCTATAATGCATAAGATACTCTTTATAAATAAAGAGTCTCTTGAAAATGTTTTAAATTTGAAAAATCAAATTTAACCCTATTTTGAAAAGTTAAAATAATGAGTTCCTTGGAATTTATTTTTGAGCATGGACTCCCTAAAATATACAAAATTTTATGTTTAGGGTGCCTTTTGAATATGCTCTAAATTGAGTTACGTACTTAATCAAAAAACATGAGACATCTATCACTCATGCACAAGCCAAGCCATAATCATAAAAAGCTTTAGGGTCGATTGTGTAAATTAATTTTATCCTCCATCTATTTAACATCTCATGTTATCCCTCGTCATTATTTATCTCACTCTGCTTTTTCGTATTTTAACTTTTCTACCACTTGTTTAGGAAAAAAAATTGGGCTGTGATGAGATTTTCTAGGAAATTATACATTCAATGCTTCACTAATTCTAATCATAATATAAACCATAATATAATTCTGTTAGATTTTATGTAATTGGCGATTCAGTGAACAAAAAAAACTAGATTGAACATGTGTAAAAGTCAAGGAGTTAGGTGCAATTTTATATAAACTAGTTAGGTATATTAGGGTTCAAGTCCGGAATAAGAAAAGAAGAGACGTCGCAATTTTGCTAACTACTCTCCAAGACGCTGCTCAAGCGACAAAAATAGAATGGTCGTCGCTCGTTTGTCGTTGCCTCTTCACTTGAGCGAAAATCTGTTGCTCGCTTCTCGGTAAAGTGTCGCCCGAGTGACAGTGTTATTCGGTCAACCCTAATTTGCAATTTTGAAAAGTTTTACATTGCCTATAATACCTAATCATTTCTAACTATAAATATCCAAGCCTAGCACGATTTTCAAAGGTGGTTGTTCATTATGCCTCATATACATATCATATTTATATCAATCTTTTGGTGATCCAAGACCCTGCTCAAACATTGATTCAACCCTTTGATTCTTGAGATCCTGCAATAATATATTGGGAAAACATCCAATCCTTGAATCTAAAACACTTGACTTCCTTAACACCGTAAGGAAGGTACTTTCTCAATTGAGCATTGGGAGAGGTGGACTACAAGCACAGGAAAAGCACAAGAATTGATTATTCTTGAAATTTCACTTGAAAGAGACAATTGTACAAGATCGAAAAGTTGGAGAAGATAGTAGTATCTCGGAGATTACAGGAAGTAGAGTGGGAAGTCTAGTGGAGTAAACTAGACAATATCTAATTGTAACAGTTATTATCTATAGTGGAGGTAACTAGTTTGATTGTAAGTTTTTACCCAATAGGGGTTTCTCCGTCATCATATTAATGTTATTTATTGTTTTCATATTACATACTGTGATATTCAAATATAGGAAATTGGACTTATATGTTTAATTATTTAGAAACTATTAAAAAGTGATTTGCTGGTGGCACGTAAGATAAAACTAAATTGACTAAGTAAAAGAACTAACAAATTCAAAGGACATAAGTGGACAGTGAGAATCGAACTCACGTCTTTAGTTTAGAAGGCTAAGGTTTATTGTCGACGTTGATTCATCATTTTGAACATCTTCATTCAAAATCGAATATGGAACTTTGATTTCATTCGGCTCCGTTATGAAATATGAATAAATTCCTTGATGTAAACAAAAATTCTACCCAAAATACTTTGTAAGCTTTTTGTTTGGGTACACATGAGTTTCTAATTATGTTACACAATTATTTAAACAACTATATTTCGCTACATCCATATTAAGGGTTTGATTAATTGCTACTACTATATATAATTAATCCCTTGTTTAAGCCCCATTTTAGGGGAAAGAATGTATTTTGGATTGAATAACGCTTTTTAACTCCACTGGGATTTCAATTCCAATTTAGATGGCGCTAATGTGGTATTAAATGATAAGTGAAATTAAATTACTCATGTAATTCCAATTTTTTACTTAGCCTATCATTTAGCACCACTTAAACTGATGTTGTAATACCAATGTAGCTATATAGCATTACTCTTTTGGAATAATAAATTAATGGAGAATATATGATTAAAATTTAAGAAATTTTTTTATTTGTATATAATATTATTTTATTGAAAAATATAAAAATGAATTTTTGAAAAAATGAGCTCAAACCAAGAGTTAACTATAAAATATCCATTCTTAAAAAATTTGTTTATTATCTTTGTCCGTTAACATCTTTATTTTCTAAACACTAAAGAGTTGACTTCTATGAAACCGAAGTCCCCTATTGTAAATTTATGTCTTGTGCCACATTGAGTTACTCTACCGCTGAGTTCAAAGAAAATTTCATATATATATATATAT